ACAGCGGCGATGGCCCTGGTCTTGAGCGGGATCTACCACGGGCAGCCCCAGGAAACCGTCCCCGACCTCGTCGGCTACCTGGGCCTGATTTTCCTGAGTTTGACCTTCACAGCCTGTATCAACAGCACGGCGGTCTTGGAACTCATGCACCAGGAGCGTCCGGCGTTCTACCGGGAGCGTTTCGCGGGCGCCTACGGTGTGCCGGCCTATGCCCTCTCCTGGCTGCTGGTGGAAGTGCCCTACGTCGGGGTCCAGTCCGTCCTTTTCCTCCTTTTCCTCTACTTCCCCCTCGGATTCTCCACTGCGGCCTGGCGGGTCGCCTGGTTCTGGGCCTTCCTCTTCCTCTACATGCTCTTCGCCACCGCCTTTGGCCAGGCCCTGGCGGCCTTGACCCCGAGCACGCAAACGGCGCAAACCCTCTTCAACACCATTGCCCCCATCTTCTCCATCATGAGCGGCATGACCTTCATGCCAGGCGATGTCCCTCGGGGATGGATCCCCCTCTGGGTCCTCTGCCCGCTGAACAAGGCTTTCGAAGGAATGGTCATGACCCAGTGGTGGACGGAGGGCGGGGGGGAGGAAGGGGGGGAGGCCACCATCGTGGTGTTCAACCCCGCCACCAGAACCTTCGAGAAAGCGTCCAAGTGGGGGGTGATTCAGTGGTTTTTTGGCGGGAAGGACGAAGGAGGGGGAATATTTCGTTTCTCCTTTGTGCACCGATGGCGGAATCTGTGCTTGATGGTGGTCTTTATCCTGGCGTGCAACGTCTTGCTCATGGCCGCGCTGCAATGGCGCCGCTTTGAAAGACGGTAGGGTCGATGATTGAAAGGGAAGGAGGAGAGGCTGGTGGGCACAACAGAGCTTGGAGACCCTGAGGCAGCTCTTGGCGCATGGCGTGGCTCCGTACGTGTGCAGGGATGGTGCTCGGCGAGGGAGGGAGTTGTGAAGTGCTGCGGGAACGATTGTGAGTGACTATCGTCCCAAAACGAGTTAGATGTATGAATCATGTTGTATTTCAGTAAATAAAGCACTAGGGGCTGTGAAAACAAACTTGATAGGACAAAGCACTGGTAGAGAAGTTTAGTCTCTGTCGTCGTGCGTTGGAATTTGATTGAGGGAAGGGGAAAATGAATAGGGAAACCGTGAACGAAGATGCAGGGCCGGAAGGAGGAAGCCTGGAGGGTCTTGGCGGGGTACGCTAGAAACGGGGCCATACATGAAGAAAAGCGATGGTCGTGAAGAGTAAGGTTAGTGATCGATGGCGGCACAGCGTGGCATCAGTGTCGCAATACACGCCGAGGGCAGAGACCGTGGCGACGAGGGAATGGAGCGGGGCCCACAAGAGGCAATGTGCAATGAGATTGCACCAGGCGTTGAAATGAGGATGATTGATTCGGAATGACGTTGTGGACCGGGGCGCAGGCCAGTAGCCGGGCCCAAAATGATAGAATGTGCCACGGACGGCACAGAACCGGGAAAAAGAAGACG